ATTCGGCGGGCGCCCCGAGTAACTGAAAGAACGACATCAGCGAATCCGAAGGGACGTGCGGTGCGCTGGAGGGGACTGTCCGTATAAACAGGTACGCCTGCTTCCAACTCGAGCCGGGTCCTCGTGTGGTGACCTAGTCTGTGCCTATCGCGTGAGGGTCTTCATATCAACATCGGTTCTCATGATATCAACATGCCTAAACTGCCCGACCATGGTATTCATATTCCTGGCTGTCAACCCATAAATGCAGATGCGCTCACAGTTCTGTACAGATGCCCAAAGTAAATGTACCTGGAGATAACCATACACTGGGTACAATACCCGTATTGAGCCACTGAGAAAGTGTGAAAGGAACTGGACAAAGGTCAAATTTTGTTCATAGTGTTGCCTTGCAAAACAAATGAAAGTTCAATGAACAGTGCTGAACAAAGATCATATCCTGTGTCACAATCAGATTTTTGCACACTCAAAAGTAGTATTATTCTAATTTGTTTCACTGACTGTGCAATGGACAATCATGAAAAAAGTTTGTCCTTTGACCGGTTATTCTCAAAGTTTTGTGCATGCTCAATATGGGTGATGTACCCAGTGGTAATGGTTATCGTGGCTGCGATCTGGGGCGAGAAGTCTCCTTTTGTGGGAGGAACCCCTCTCCCAACAAAACTGGGCGTGATTAGCTGCCCGCCAGGTTGGAGCGGAGAAAGCCCCTTGGCAAACTGGATACGGTAACTTCCACTATGTGATGCCGCCCATACCGAAGAAAGGTGAGTTCCTACCGGAGACTTGTGCCAGCGGAACGATCGTTGCCCGGTAAACTGAGAATAGGTATCGAGCTGCTTGAACGACCTGGCACCTCGGTCACCAAGTGCCGGGCCCGAGAGGATCTTATCAGTCTTTGGAGCTGGACGAGCGCGCCGCAGAAGGTTCCATGCTGTCTCCTTCATCTTCGACACCATCTAGTGGGTCCAGGACCGCGGGATAACAATCAGAACCGGAGAGATGCGAATGGACTGTATCTGAGGTATGATTGGGCCTGATGGTCCAATACCAACCGCACCTACGCCGTTGAAAGAATATCCACTATGCACATGCATCACATAAACGTGCCACGTCGTGCTGCACTGATAATGGACGATCGCCTGTTCCATCATTTCGATTCCCCCTCTTAGGTTGGTACTTACGATTTATTCGAATCCCTGGTTCTAAATATGATACCAACCTTGGCGGTCGCTTTGGATCCATTTTCGAACAGTCTTAGAGTTCCAGTCGATTGTCATCACTTACCTCTTTTGTCCCGGCAGGGTACTCTCATCAGTACCTATTGGACATGTGCAGAACGAGATTTGCTATGGACGGCACCACAGCAATTGGCCAGCCTGGTCTTCCTCCCGGCTTGACCCTAACTTCTGACACCCGTTGGCTACAAGCTCGACTTTTCGAACCTTCGCGCATAAAAGGACGTGTCTAACAATCTGAGTCCCTGGACAAAATGACAGTCACCACGGGCACAATCGACTTCACCGTTGGGAATGAGACGTTCCAGACCTGGTATAAGCTCTTAGGCGACCTGAATCCCTCAGCTCGCCCCCTCATCGTTCTCCATGGCGGCCCAGGCATGTCGCATGACTACCTTGCGTCCCATAGTGACCTCCACGTCCAGCAGGGCATCCCGGTCATTTTCTACGACCAAATTGGTAGCGGTAAATCAAGTCATCTCCGCGACAGAGGAGCAGAATTCTGGACGTACGACCTCTTCATGGACGAGCTCCAGAATCTCCTTGATCACTTCGGTATCGCCCACAACTACGATCTGCTTGGTCACTCCTGGGGCGGGATGCTCGCCGCAATGTTTGCGGCAGCTCGCAAGCCAGCCGGTCTGAAACATATCGTTCTGGTGGGGACGCCTGCTTCGATGGAGTTGTGGATGGAGGAGACGAACAAGCTGCTACTAGGGCTGCCGAAGGCACTTGGGGATATGCTCCGTAGGCACGAAGAGGAGGGTACAACGGCGGACAAAGAGTACCAAGATGGGAAGCTGGTGTTTTACAGGAAGCATGTATGCTCCCTGGATCCATGGCCACAGGAGGTTCTCGATTCCGTGGCTGCGATGAATGACGACTTGACAGTCTATCATACCATGTGAGTGTCTACTCACTTGTATAGTTATAGCTAACGTGTGATATCCTAGGAACGGCCCTTCCGAGTTCTGCATCACGGGCACAATCAAGACATGGTCCGTCATCCATGATCTCCACGCATTATCGTACCCAATACTGCTCACGAATGGTCTCAACGATGAGGCCCAAGACCCTGTAGTCTTGCCATTTTTCAACAAGTGCCCTAAAGTAAAGTGGGTGCAATTCGTAACGGCCACTCACATGCCGTTCTGGGAGGAAAGAGAGAGGTATATGAAGGTCGTCGCCAACTTCTTGACAAATGTGTAGAATCCGAGATTGATGATACTCGACCGGATGATGGCCTCCGCACCACGTAAATAATCTTTCGCTGCCAGGTTGAGGTAGTAAACTAGTAGTTGGATGTGTAACGCACAAATATATGCAGGTGACTTGACACTATGAGGCATAACGTTGTGGTTTGACAGTTATCTTCGATATATCGTGAGTTTAGTCCTAGTCCGAACGCGGGGAAGAGCATACTTACTCCCTGCACACAGTATATAGGCCTAGAATTTAACCTGAGCCACTGAATAACCGAGACAACAGGGGTGGGCCACTCGCAACGACTGTGAAAGGTGCACACGCTACGTGAGCAGCGCTAGCGCGTGGCGCACTACATGAGCATACGTTCTAAATCATGAAGTCCCTCTCAGCAGTCCCGAGTCCTACACTGGTACTCGGCTTCCCGCCGCCTTAGGCTCAGCGCTCAGTAGTGGTACGACGAGATGGCTATGGTCGAAGAGATCGCTGCACCAGCCGCCGCCCCCGAGCCAATGTCCCTAATGGCTGTCGAGAGCCGGTAGCGCTACCCAGCCACCCACCCTTCCCTCTCCTCCTCGCCTTTCATTTATTACCCAGGACGGACGGACGGTCTCCTCCCTTCCCTAGCGGTCATTGCCAGGTTCCTAGAACCATCCGTCCCCCGTCCTCGATCCTGGGTCGTTGCTTGCTCGACGGGATCAACGATCACTGTCCGTCGCAGTCTTTATCCATTGTTTCTCACATCATTCTAAATTTCGTTCCTCGCAACACTACCGCCAATCGGGCCAGGAAAGCCCCAAACACCCGCCCGCGACGCCCTGCCTACAATATCTCCCGCATGCAGGACAGCCTGGAAGAAATAACGCACTCCCAAGAACTGCCCTCGCAGCTCTGGAACTCCTGCCGGAACCCTACGATACGCCCCCTCATCAGACAATTCCTATACAAAGCCATCCAGCGGGCTCACCGGGTAGGCGACTACTGGCTACCTATTACTGGGTATGAGATGCGAGCAATATGCCCCACCTGCACAGATTGCGCTGATAACCTAGACCACATACTATTAGAGTGCACTACACCTGCCCGCGAAATCGTCTGGCTGCTCACCGAAGACCTATGGCCCAGCTCCTTCGGCAAATGGCCCGACCTCAACTTCGGCGCAATGTTGAGTTGCGGGAAACTCGCCGTCACCCTTGACTACTCTTCCCCGGCAAGTGATGCCTCAAATGACGACCACGAAGATCCACCCTAGGAAGGCAAGCCCCACCCCGGCGCCTCCAGACTACTGCAGATATTGGTCTCCGAAGCCATATGCCTGCTTTGGGTCCTCCGTTGCGAACGGGTGATCCAACAGAAAACTCATACTGTAAAGACCATCCTCTCAAGATGGACAAATGCCATCAACCGCCGTCTGAGTATTGACCACATCGTAGCAAGCAAAATAAAACGATCTCCCAAGGAAATAAGGAAAGTTACGAATACATGGACACACATCCTTAAAAATCCCGACTCCCTCCCTGAAAACTGGGCAGCACGCCCTGAGGTTTTAGTAGGTATTAGAACGCCCCGGACCCCTACCCAACGGATGCTCCGAGCGTTATCTCGAGTCCTACACTCCCCGGCTCCCGCCGGGGGCCGTGCATAAACGCATTTCGCCTCGGACCAAACGGTGGAGTGCACCCGTTTGCTATAGGACAATATCCCTCTTTATCTCCACTGTTCACATGCACACTGACTGCCAACTATCCCTGATCCGCTTACTTGTCTTAAGTTTGTATCGCGCACGAATGTACGACGGCCCGGGATAATACTATACTTACCTTCTTGGTTCGAGTTGCGCAGGCAAACTATGACGGTGCACGGATTGAGCAGCAAGGCCACGAAATCAACAATGATTAGCCAAGGAGAGGAGACTGCGGCAGCACTATGGTGAATGTATATACACACATGTACATATGAAACATCAGTACGTATGCAATCACACCGCACTGAACTCAGCATCGACAGCTTTATTGATCGCAACGGCATATTCGCCCTCTGCCTCAAGCTCGGGCTTGGGGAGGAGCCCACTGCCGTTGAGGGTCGGGCTGTCGCCCGATGCGCCAGTCCCAGCGGGGTTAGAGGCGAACTTCATCCTGGGGTACGCGACCATCCGCACGGCGTTCCCGGAGCGCGAGCGCGCCGCTGCCCCTGTCCCGGCCGTGAAGAGCTTCGTCGACGTGTCCGCGCCCCAGGCCTTGCCGAGCGCGACGCGCGCGATGATCATGAACGGCGCAATGATCTGTGAAGGCAACCGTGCGTGGATCAATCGGGGAGATGGTAGAGAAGCGAAATGAGGAAAGGCAGGCTAGCGCACCTGGACCTGGCCGGATGCCTGAAAACAAATGTTCGCGAGGGCGTTCCCGGCCGCCCATGGCGCGAGGAAGAATATTGAGAACGCGGCGTAGAGGATCGCGGACTCGACGAGCATTGCCATGATGCTCGTGTAGTGCGTCCCGTGGCCGCGGCCGAGGATCCTTCGCAACTGGCGGCGTGACACGAGGAGGCGCACCACGATCACTAGCGTGATGATGATGTTGAGCCCGAACGAGAGCGACGCGTACGGAAGCGTGAAGTTCACGCTCGTGGTCACCCACGCCGAGGAGTTCGGCGTGGATACCTGTACTAGGTAGCAAACGCCCATGGCTGCAGATGTGTCAGCAGATGCGTGGCCCGCCAATCGCAAGTTGGTACTGACACAGGGAGCCCGCGTACAAAAGGCAGGGGAGAGCCATGATAATCCAGATCGGTATGAAGCTCGCTCGGCAGATGACCATGCAGCGCCACATCTGTGCTGGGACGCTTAGAACGCGTCTGACGTTTGCACAGCGGAAGCCTTACCAGCAGCCCGTCCGCCAGCCAGTTCGACAGGACGTACGCGACGTTGCCCATTGTGTCAACCGGTATGTAGAACATGGCTTCTTCATACACGGCAGGGCCGCCGGGGAAGTCGCGGTCCTCCACGTACGCCAGCTGCGTGAACTGAGAATTGGACGCTTGGAAGAGCGTCCCGAGGACGAACATGACGGTGACGTAGACGATGAAACATGCATTCGTGCGTCGGTTGGTAGCGTTCATGCCGGTGACCAGGAGGTGCATGCAGAAAACGTACAGGGTGAGGACGACACCATATCCAACAGAGGCGAGAAGAGCGCCTTGAAGAAACGTCTCCTCGCTGTAGATCTGAGCGTGGGTTTCGTTCGGGGCGTAGGACATCGCAGGAGGGCTCGACAGCTGCAACCTCGGGCGACCGTTCGCTACTTAAACCATAGCTGCATGTTATTGGGCAGTGTTCTCACATTACCTGGACCGCGCCGTCAAATCACGAAGTGTCAGTCTGTGGTCATGAGCCCCAGTGTTGGAGACAGATGGGCATGGATTCTCGCGCTGCGTTGTTCTTAGTATTAGATGGGCTGTTGTGGCGAGATACAAGGACTGAATGCAGACCCTGCAGTCGCTACAGTTGGTCATTTCGATATCTTGCGAGTGTGTCACCCAATGACCCATGTTACGATAGGATTCGGGATCCCATCGCACTGCCAGCATGGGTGCTCGACAGCCTTTGATCACCGTCTTTCGACTATGGCAGTGGGAGAGCTTTCCAAGACCGTTGAGTCCCATGACCATCCGGGAGCCAGATGAAAAGCCAAGATGGATATTCGAAGTACTAATCATTAATCAAGCCTTGGAGGTAGTGTGACCGTGACTCGAGTTGCATCCGGTTTATCTCAAGCCGGGGACAGTCCTTTTGAGCAACACTCCAGTGCCGGGCGGACAGTATACTTCTCTATATACGTTCAACCAATATTAATCAGATCGTCGCTTGTGTCCGCATGAGGACGGGCTTTACCTGGCTTTCGGGGCCTTATCTCGACCCCAGAGGGTACCACGGCACGGGCACCCCGAGTCGCAGGAGTAATCCATTACAGTACCGTCTGACATCGTCTTCAAGTCTTATCGTGCCTATTCAGCTTTCCGATGTGCGGCCATCATTCCGACTTTATGTCCATCTTCATGCCCCCCCGCTTTCCCGGTCCAGGGCCATGTGTGGCACTTAACGTCGGCAGCCAAGTGAATATTAATGCCGATACTCACGTAGTACCATCTCAAACGGCATGTAGGCTGCTCTGCAGAGTTCTACAAATGTGTGTTAGAGTGACAGGAAGTCCCGCGTGTGGCGATACACTCCGAGTCTCTCATCGCAATGACTCAATCGTCTCGCGCATCCGTACAGCACATACTGTCCAAGAATTCGGACATCGTTTCCAAACGAACTGAAATACATGTTGTTATAACATCGCCATCCCAATATTCACAAGGAGAATATAAGGTTTACAACTGATGAGCGTATGTGCAACTGCTTCGTCTACATTTCACCCGTCAAAAGTCACACTTATCCGGATGAACACTCTCTGCAATTTGAAGGCCATCGCTTGAAGCTGCGATAATGTTTGGGTGATCACTGCGAAGTGCGACCCGATAAAACATTATCACCTACGTCGACTCTCGGTCTATTTTCCTACCTAGACTCCGCAGTCCTCGACGTCATTGCCAGGCTGATCTACAGACTTCAATGAGTTACAACGACAGACGGCAATGTGAGACTAGTCGTACCGGTTCCAGTGATTATGCCAATGCAAGCAGTTTCCCGACGGAATACTGGCGTAGATTCGACCAAGGTGACAACGACGCACAGAAGCAAAATCGATACGACAGACTTGAGCATTGAACTCATGCTGGGTGTAGTGAACGCTTTCTGCTCCAAGTTCTTGCCTTCTTATGCTCGTAGCCCTCGTGTGATGGCATAGCGGCTCAAATCATTTTCTGCATGTTCCTTCCGACCTGTCCCACCGAGATGATATTAGACCGCTGTCATATACGAGGTGATATCCTTACGTTCTCGGATTAGGGTATGAGATGCAACGCGCTCCGCTATGTGTGTACCATGTCCTGGTAACAGACACGCGTCGATATTACCACTCACATCCACCCCATCAGCGTTTCTGTTCGGATAACTCGGAGCGAATAATTGAATCATGGAGACCCTTCTACTTCCCGGACAAAGGTCTTGCAGGGGACATCATGGAGCCGCCATCTTCCATGACGATCAGGTATGGCAAACCCCCCAGGGATGTACTGCAGAGCGATCCCACAGATGCATGAAAAATCCGTGGTTTCTGGTCGAAATGTAGTGAGCCTGATGTCTGTCCGCAGAGTGATTAGGAAATGAGGTCGACTCGTCCTGGAATCTCTGTCCAATCTAAACCTTCATCTTAGTCTAGATGAGCCTTCGTACTAATTAGGGAATTTGAACTGAGCAACGTCCGCCACCGCCCGCCCTTGTCGAATCCTCCGTAGAATCAGGCTTCTGAACTGCACCACCGTGATGCCTGCTAGCGAGTGGCATCAGCACTCAGCAAACGAGCAGACGGCTGCCACTGCAACAAGCTGTCCTCTACCAATCAGCTTGCGTGAAACTCTGTTGGACGGCCAGAACCTCCCTGATACCCAGTGGCCACGGCATCTCCCCTTGAGGTATGCCTGTGTTCTCGCCGGGTAGATGCTAGTGTATCAGATGTTTGAAGGTACTCACCCCGCATTTCATATTCTATGTAGCTCACTATTATGTGTCAGTTATCATCCGTCCCATCAGCGTTGTCTGTTAGGGCACACTTATAACGAATGATGGGAGCGGACATCATGAAATCTTCACCTCTCGGTTTGGCACGACGAAATCCGCAAGGCTGAAAATGTAGAAGTCGGACTGTCTCTCGAGTATCCCATGCATGGATCTGCATCATCTGTTTGAGAGGGTCAGTGAAGATGCCTGTGCATGGAGTGATGAAGTCCGAGTCGGATTGTCCAGTCTCTCACCTTGATGGGCCGCTTGATCGGGCACCTCGCCCCCACTCAAAGCAAAGAGCATTCCTTATGCTCTTATTTTCTATTGGAATACACTCGAGAGCTCAGGCTGAGACAATCGTATGTGACGGGTCGTCCATCATTGACACGGACCATCAGTGGCACGCGTCTTCCCTTCAAGCCCGCGATGCATATTCACCCCACAAAGAGGGAGTACTCGTCGGCGCCCTACTGCACCCAAGCTGTATATTCCTAGCGCTCCGTTATTCATTCTCCTGAGCCGACGAATCCACGTTGCCTCGTTGAGCGTTGGCCTATGAATTGCCGTCTCAAGTGACACTGTGGGGATTGGAACCTGAGCGCTGAGCCTCTGCGAGTCCCCCGCCATGAGAGCCGAGTTAATTTTATGCAGCCGAGGGTTTGTTACATGAGGAACATGTAGTGCTCAGCCTATCTATGGACGTTGAGCGTGCAACACTGAATCATCACCGTCTAAAATACGGTACTAAGTGGTTCCCGTGCAACGCATGAGAACCGCGTTGATTCGTTCACTTACAGTAGGGCACTGCCCACCCGCAGAAAGCATAGGCGCGCGTAGATAATGAAGTCTCAAAAGTAGTTCGTACGGAATAGATGATCTCATTCGTATTCAATATCAATGCTTCACCTCCTCAACTCTGAGCCCGCACCTGCAGAAATGTCGTTCGCAAGGGTTCTACGCTGTGGAGTGTTGGACTACGTATACGGCTGAGTTCACGTCAAAATCACGTATCGCAGGAGATGACAAAAGCAACTTCACCTGTAGTAGATTTGTCGGGGTCCTGCCACCATTCCACGTAGCAATCGCTCTCCACCGAGGAATGCACAATCTCGAAGGTCAAGACTTCCCCCATTCTGCAAGACACGCGGCGGCGAAAATCGACGTCCTTCATTTTGCTCAATTCGATCTCTGCGATTTTGCTGACGCGTGCAGGCCTTGCCTTGTAGCCAAGCTTCTTTCCGTTCAGTAGCGATGAGGCGTTGAGTCGGTGTATGGCCAGAGCCATATTGCCATCGCATATTTGTACCGAGTCGTCCGAATTCAAGGGTATAGTCAACTGTAGATCACACCATTCCATCCCGTAGTCCAAGACGCGGAACTGAACGATTGTCGAGACCTTGTGGAACAACGTTAGTCAACCAATACAACGCCGTGTGTATCTGGCATGCTCACGCTTCTGGTAACTCGGATTTGCCTATCTTCGGGAGAAATGGTGCCTATGCGAGCCATATATCGCTTTGGATCGTCATCAAAAATGACGGCTTGAGCATCCTGATCGATTTGCATGACTACTGCAGGGTAGTTAATCAGGGTCCTCCTCTCGTTGAAGAGGGGGCGCTTCAGATTGTCGAAGCCCATGAACTGCGATGGCCACCGCAGCGAAGCTATGTCATCCTTGGTGTAATCCGCCGTACAGGAAGGCGCGCTCGCTTTTCGGTCGTCTCCAATGACGATCGTAAGGACGCTGACCCCTGTACACAACAAACAGCCCAGGAGGGTCCACAAGCTGACATACGATCTTGTGGCCCGCGTCTCTTGGTTAGAAGAGGATTGAGGTAGTGGAGCGTACCCTTCTTTGAAAGCGAACATGACAGAGGAGAGTACGGGACGCTATCAAGACGATCTAGTTTAGCTTGTATTTGTGGCGGGAAAAGGTGGTCGGATTCAAGAGTGCTGGGAGCTGATTCCGTATGACCCAGATAATCGTGCCACACTTACGGACATCAGGTTTACCCTCTGGTTCCAGATATCACAAGATCGGTGAGTGAGGCGCAATTTCCGAGAAAGCCAGATCGGTGTACTCAGGGTGTATTTCAGTTCTCCGGGTCGAGCCGGGAGTAACTCGGTCCATTACGTCGGTATCAGTGATCAGCCTCTCCCTGTAATTGCGTTGACTCTCCTCCAGGAAATGAGCAAGCTTCATGTGTCGAAGCCTGAATGTAGGAATCGGGCATGCTCATGCTAGTATGCAGCGTCACATCATGGGAACGCATTGTCTTGGAACTTAGACCACATCAGCAAACATGTACAAACATCACGCCTGTATACACGTCTCGTATTCATAGCTAGCTCTGTACCGACTTGTTCGTTCCTCGGTCTCTGCGCTGCTGCGTCAATACATTGATATTGTTGTCCGTCATGAATAGAGTGGCTATGTGTTTATTAGTGGGCTTTGGCAAGCTCAACGACTCATTCGCCCGGGCCAACCATTGGTTATGATGGTAGGTTGCCACATCAGGGGTTAATACTTACTACCGCATTCCCGGCGTTGGACAATCATGTCGCCCGGGGCTCGCGCGACCTTCCAGAACTCGGCGTCGTATGTAAGTACTGCCGTTGGTACAACTAGAAGGCCCAGGATCTGGAAAGGAACATAATTTGACCCTTCTGGGTTTCCAATCCACAACGCGGGCCAATCAATGTGAAATCAAGGGTAGCACAACTATAGATTTCCTTTGTTACTTTTGATCCCCTAGTAGTCCAAACGGTGCAAAATACGTCTACAATTCGGAAGTCACCCCATTCTTTATACGTGCGTATTCTCTGTGATTTGTCTCCGCTGCTGCATAGATACTAGTCCAGTCGTTACAAACTAGATCATTCCTAATTATGCTTGCAAAGCCGGTGGCATTCTTCAGCGATTCCAAGCGCAGGTTGGGTTTGCACAGAATCGCTTGACGGAGATAGTTGAAGCAATGTCGGGTCAACGGTGAAGATGCGTTGAGGCGATTTTCTCGGCCGTCCACGACCGCGGCGCGGACGACGTCGAGGCATTTGAACTGATGGAATAAAGCGACTGTGTACGGCTCTTGAACGCCGGTAGGGCCATCCACGCGCACGACGTGTCCCCCTTTGGGTATGAGCATGTCCCACTGGTGCGCGTCGCCGAGCGAATAGTGCACAGTCTCATCCAACCGCATCGCGACGAGCCCGACGGTTGGAGAGAATGAGAGAGGAGCTGTCCAGAGAACGGCCTCAGGTTTTGTGGCCAGCATACTAGAACGTATTCACGAACCTCTCGAGGACTCAACGACAGTCTTGTCTGCGCGCTTGCCCGCTGCTTGAGAAGACCACAAGAGGAGCAGATTCAGAATCAGGAGATGGAAGACTGGTGACATCCTGCTCTGGCGCGACGAGCACTCTGAGTATTCGAGGTGGGTGCTATGCGGTCAGAACCCTCCTCTCGAAGAGTGTGTGAGTTGAAGCAACATGATCCCATGCCCTCATAAACCTTGGAATTGCGGGATTTCCCTGTTAGAGCCGGTAGCACGGGCCTCATCGGCGAATCGGCAATGAGGCTTTCCGTGTCAAAATGGGACACTGACATAAGGTCAGAATGAGGGAATCTGCCTGAGATGTATGAAGTGTCAAGTATCACCTGTAGCTTGGAGCTGTTGATGATCCAGCAGAAGTCTGATACGTGCGGAGCAACACATTCCCTATCCCCCCGTCTTCCAGGAATGTACGGCTCAGGGTCTGGGTCAGTATCTCAGAGAGGAGGTGCGATCATCACTCCCGTCACGATATCGTGACGAAGCCATCGAATCTCAGCGTACCTTTGGGACATCAAAGGCTTCACAGGCCGTCTGCAAGATGAGAGTGAATCGCATAGTAGCATTCTCACTTGCATTTGCCTCCCGCCTGCTCCCTTGCAGTGCTTGCTCTTGAGATGCATACCCAACGGTTTGTGCCTCCTTCGACCGACCACTACTGTTCTTCATTATTGACACGAGGACGATACAGATCCGCTTTGTCTTACACAGTGCAGCTCACGCATGCCATACTATTCGCGGCGCTCGTGTTGAACCTATGCATGGCCGTCTGGCATATACATGGTAATCTGAAACAGAGAACAGGTAAGCCCTGCGATTACCTGCCGTTGCTATCTCTACTCACACTGGGCTGTAGACAAGCAGACCAAATCAAGAGAATACAGCTACATTGGAGAGGATTACCCTTTGGAGCTCCCTCTCGAGGAACCTCTGGATGCAGTGGCTATGGGTCTCGATGAGACAGTGCACTTCGCCATTGATGGCAGCGACCCCTCGGCAGAAGCGGCGTGGAGGACCACCATCTGGTACCCGCCTGGACTGGGTCGAGTGCGCCTCGGTCCAGACCATCGCATTTTCGTCTTGGGCTGGTACCACGAACTCCACTGTCTTCATGCTTTGAAGTTTGCTGCTGCTCATCCCGAGCGGGAGGAAGCGAAAGATGACGAGCACTTACACCACTGCCTCAATTATCTTCGACAGGCCCTCCTTTGTGAAGCATCAGGGACGTTAGAGAAGGGAGATTTCCTCGATAGGGATTTTGAGCACCAGCCGCAGGGTGATATCGTTATCTGTCGGGACTGGGAGAGGTTGTTTGAGGTTCACGCCCAGAATCTCAGGGAGTGGGTAGAGTGGTTGCACCACTGGAACCGGTGATATTGGTTCACGATATGTCTCGATGGATCAGCATGTATACTCTTGTCATCGGTATGTACGCCTGGGAGCCTGGGGTACTGTGAACCACGTTTGAATCGGCTCGACGTCGATGCTGTCCTGTCGGTTTCTTGTATCTCTGAGAGTGTGCAAGCCATTGTGGCCCCTTGTGTAGGATAATGCTGCCGTGTGCAAAAGCTAGCACGGGGATTGCGAGGAGGAGCTATATGCTCGAGCATCCATACCGCACCATTGCTCTCACTGTCTCACAACGACGATCCGGTCAAGATGAGACAATCTAAGCGGCGGACCTCGCTCACGACTGCATCAGAGCAGGCCGGATGTCATCGTGCTCTTGTTTTAAACGCCTACAGTCTGTGCAGGATAGGTCGGACGTGAGAGCATAGCAAGGATGGGTGCTAGCTCCGCTTCGGAACAACACGCTTACATAGCGTAGGCATGTTCTTTATCACCAGTAGAGTCAACCGGGGCGAATGGGCTCACAAGAAGCGTTTCAGAGATAGAGGCAAGAGGAAATTTGCCGAAACTTCGCTGACTGTCCTTGTCCGGTTCAGTGCACAGCCAGGCAGGGGGAGTATAGGAGGGGAATGAAGAGAGGACTTTGAATGAACACGAGTCGAACGTACCGGGAACAAGGTACTGTGACGAAACCGCAATGAGCCTTGGACTGACGAGTTGTAGCTCGTACGATAGGGTTTACTAACCTTCCTCTTGAGACGAGGTATCCCATCACTCTTATAGGTGCCGTCTAAGAAGGGATCATGCAGGTATACACACCCTTCAGATACAGTTCCTCGCCAGGGGAACGGAAAGCAGCTGCAGCGGACAAAAAGAGGTCGCATGGATTCATGAAGAAATGGCCGAAGGAAATGAACATGTTGAAGCAGCGAGATATGTGATGTGTCCATGCTTGCGTCTTGCTTGCGTCCTATCGAAGCCTGCACACAACAACAAGGGCGACGAGGAACGCAGCCATGAGCAGCACACCGCTCACAACAGCCGCGACGCGGCACCGGCGCACCCAGGTGTCTGCGTCCGCATTCGTGAGGGCGGAAAGGCGATGTAGTCGGGCGCGCGGGCTTCCCTCCTTGAACGCCCCAGCCTCCCTCTCCAAGTTCAGGAATATCGCACTGTCGGCGGGTGGTGCGAAGATGGGGTACACTTTCAGCTTCGGCGTCGATTTCGAGGCGGAGCGGAGCCAGAGCGGGAGGTAGCGCTTCCCGTTCTCCTTCCCACGCAACTTGGCTCCGTCGTGGTCCTTGTTCTTGTCAGCCTTCTCTTGGCGAGTATGCTGCCCTTCCAGGTCCCCCGATTGTTTCCCCTTCTCCTTCGCGGCTATGCGCAAGTCGCCGTAGCTCTCGAGCAGCCACCCGCCGATGAGCCAGCACCACGGGCCGAGCACGAAGCCAAGATAAAACAACATCCTAGGCGCCCTCCTTTCTAGCGAATTGCATTTGGCCAGTGGTGGGGCAATTTCGACGTGTGTACTACTGTAGGACGCGTCCTTGCAATCATGCCACCGCTTGTCGATGAAAAGCGACGAGCGCGAGGGGTCCTCGGTCACGGATCGGCCCGTGCCCGTCTGCGCTGAGGGCGTCGGCGATGGTGCGCGGAGGGACGAGGAGTGATGGCGCGGGGAAGGAGGGCGAAGCAGGGAGGACTGGAAGCTCGTCGTGCTGGGCTGCGCGACGAGGCTGAGGTGGTACAAGCCGCGCTGCGGGTCGGAGGAGACCACGCTCGAGCGCACGGCGGAGTTTCGCTGGCCCGAGTGGCGGTCGCGCACCGTCCCGATATCATCTTCCTCGTCTTCCCCCTCCTTGTCCGCTCGGGTAAGCAGCGACGGCGTCGAGCTCGCGTAAGTGTACACCGTCGGCGCGGTGACGAAGCTCGCGGTGCTGTCGCGGTCGCCGTCCTCCTCCGAGCCGCGGTGCACGCTCGCCGCGATGGTCGGAAGCGGGCCCGAGCGCGCCGTATATGGGACGGAGAAGGGCGGGCGCAGGTCCACCGGCGGGATGGACGGCGCGACGGCGGAGACGGAGGAGCCGAAGGTGTTCGCGGAGCTCTGGCTGATGGAGCGCTTGAGGGGGCGGGAGATGAAGTACGAGGAGGAGTGGTAGGAGGCTGCGGGGGAGTTGCGGGCTAATCCCCGGGAATCAAGTGTCAGGAGCTAGAACGCGGGATTTGGAGAGAGCATACCGCCAAAGTCCTCTGTCACGTCCACCTCGCGTGTGGGGCTGATGGGCGTGAGGCGTACGGGGCGCAGCTCGGGCGAGCGCTGCTCGCGGATGGGCGAGAGCGACTGCGGCGGGGTGACGAACGGGTTCGCGGTGGAGATGGGCGAGACGCGGCGGTAGTCTAGCCGCAGCGAGTGCGTGCTCCGCGCCTGCAGGTGCGTGCTGTACGTCCTCCCTTGAATGGGACTCGGGCTTGGAGTCTGTGCGGCGCGGGCGAGAGGGGAGGAGGCGGAGCGGCCAATGATCGGCGCGCTGGCGGCGTGCGTGAGGCGCGAGGGGTCGCTGATCCAGGATATATTCGGCGGGCCCGACGGGTTTGGGATGGGTGGTGGTCTGCGCGGCCGCGTCGACTCGGTGCTCTCGTCGTCTGAGGCTGGGTGCAGCACCACATAGTCCACCGGCGAAGGTCGCTGTCGGAGCCGCGCCTGCTCCCGCCTTGTATTCGCGGGCGATCGTTCTTCTTCGGAGGCGCTGGCAGAACCTGGCACGGACGTAACGATCTGGGAGAGCTTCGAGAACATCCGGGGCGTTTATGACGGCGACGGGAGGGGCCTGGGGTAGGCTGTACCAGCTCCAGAGTGACGAAGCAGACATCAAGGCTATATAGCTAGGAAAAGCTCGGATCAGTAGAATGTATACTGCATGTGTTGAGCTGACGTCCTTCAGGAAACGGTCAGCCGCAGCGAGGACACGCGACGATACACCGACGCAGTGGAGCGCGTGCAACGCTGGACCCGACTGCGTGCATCAGCCGCGCTCGGGTTGCAGACATACTTAACGGGATATTCCTGAATCCTTTAGAAAAATGTCGCGCCCCTGGTCGTTGAATATATGAGAGTCCCTTGATGATTGACAGAGTCAAGGTTTCAGGCAAGAACCGCGAGAGCGGTGCTTCTCGCCCGATCTGATCTTAGAACGTTCAGCACGTTGCCTCCACGCCCCCGCCGCCTCGCTCAGCCACAGCTTCATTGAGGCGGGGGGACGTCAGTCATTCGTGTTCACATGAACGCACAGCAATTTAAATGTCGTCAGTACGCAGTGCTGCCCGACTGCAAAAAGAATGGTCGGAATAATGACCGTGCGTCTGAACCTTGGCAGGCCCCATTGGCAGACTTGCAGCTGCTTCTACCCCTAGTACTATGCGCCTCGGACCTTCCCAGTATGACTGCGAAGCATTGAAACTCAAGCATAAACCAGTTTTAACACTATTTGCCATGGGCAACATATATGCGTATCTCTTAAATCATTTTTACTCAGGAGTCGTACAGGCTACGGTCTCCGTCACAGAGGGACAGAATCCGGCTGTGTCACTCGACAGCCTACCGGTGTTCTGTGTATATGAAGGGAACGGTTATGAATCAAGCCAGGGCGACAGCCGCCTGAACAACGCTTACCCCGTAAGTGCAGAAGAAGTCCATGTCATTAACCGTCGTGTTCGCAGTATACCTATCACACAAGCTTCTGATTAGCTTTCTCGCAGCGACACAATTCCTGTGAGCCTACCCGCAGAACTCGGGCGTACCGGGCGCGTCCCCGCTTGCAGCCATGAGGTAGTATGTTGTGTTGTCAGGCGAGATGACATTAAGGGGGCATACGGCGCAGGTAGGGGTACGTATGACAAGAGGCGAGACGGAGCTCACAAAGAGGGGAAGGAGGCAAATGAGATTGGCAGAAACCATTGCAAAGGCGTCGAAGGTGAGTGGTTGACGTAGATTTGGTGGGCTGCGAATTTTGCTCGACTCTGCTGTCCTTCAACTAGGCGGTTTTATAGCCAGGGCTGTGGTTCCATGGTATGTTCTTCTCCTTACTCGACTCGGCGAGACCAGTCAAGACCAAGTGCTGTATCTATCGTCGGCAGATAGAAAGCACCTTCGACATAGACGCACGACGGGAACTACCAAGCAGAACTGGCAAACCAGGGCATAAGCATGCTGAGCGCGTCTTGATAGCTCAGAGGCGCCATTTAATCCAGGATTGCATGAGAGTCGGTGACGTCAATGACATACGAGGTGATTCCAGCCCAACCGTCACAGCGTCTGAATCGCAAGTGCTCGCCAATCATAATATTGGCCACCAGTCGTTCCGGCCCAAACGCTACCCGGCAGAAGCAGCCCTTACTGTATGGTCATTGACTCTGCGAACGTCCCGAACGGGGGCAAGCATATTAAGCGGTAAGGAGACACTTCTCGTCTTCGGACGACGAGAATAGATAGCGGAGAAGCAAAGCGTGGCAACTTCAGCCACAAAGTAGCATTGTTGCGGTCCCGACCAGGCACCATCGTCTATTCTCCGTACGAAGATCATAGATGACCAAGGAAAGCCATGGTAAGTCTTACCGTTGACAAGCATTGAAACCTCGATACTCTGGTTCAGAGATGAGTGGGCCTGAGCAAGAATCGGGCGCGGCATATAGCAGAGATGATTTGCAGCCACAAAGCAGCACTATTCGCGACTCCCGGCAGCATTCCACTTCGGTCCCGTCCATTCCGCACGCGAGGATCGCACATGCCACAAGAACGGATAGGAGGATCCAAGGGAAGCTACCAGAGTATTCCGAGACCGTGAGTGTTAACACCCTGGAAATGTTCACTGCCTGGGCCAGAACAGAGTCGACATGAGCGAGGAGTAAGCCGCCTTTAGCACACCCCATGTGTATGAACATCCATGACATCTTCGCCCATGAAAGAATGGATACGGACCAATCCTACCGTGTCGTCGCATCCTCGTTGGCCCGTAAAATAGGACGGAACAACACTGATTGGTTCGTCCTGGATGGAACTGAGTAAGCCCCGTCCATACTCATCCAGAGGGCATCCGATGCCGTAAGCCATATCATGCCCCGCCAGCCGACGACCTCGAACTAGTAAATCCACCTGGAGGAGTCATTGAACGACCGATAAAGCACTTTGGGCTACTTTCACGGAAAACGAAGCGTCGAGGACATGAAGGGAATTGTACGTTCGCTCCCCGCGCCAGGAGGGACTGCTCACCTGAAAGCGGCAGGAGTAGTCTCAAGGTAGATTGTGCGGCTTATCAGTGTATTTCTGATAGCTTGGTTCTCTTGGATCAATGAAATTCAAAGTCAACTGGCTGTCGGTAATTCGTCCAAGCATGAGATAGCGAACACCTGAACGACGGCCCACAGCAATGAGAGGGACGACCGACGACTGGGTCGAAAGGTCTCTTCCGACGGGGACGTATATCTTGGATTATACTTGGATTATACTGTCAGGAGTTTGATGATTCTTGGAGATATTCAGTGATGTCCTTGGTAAGGCCATTTGCCCAGAGCACGGGTAGGAGAGTGCGGCCGTCCAGATCTTGCTCACCATTTCACTTGCAGCGGTTCAACAGGAATACTGACATAAGAGTGATTATACCAGGCCGGAACCGGGGCTATGATTTCACGAAGTTTAAGGGGGGGAAAGTTCAGCGCCTTCATCGCATGCCAAGCCAGTCTGACCATGATTTGCATCCGAAGGGCTGTGTACACTGCACGACGCGTTTGTAAGTGAGGGTTGCCGCAGAGTTTACGCGTCCCGTAAGTGTCGCTCTGGTCAGACAGAGAATTCACCTGGGCCAACACCGAAGTACACGAAGCCAGAGAGGCTGTAGAGTAGGAACACTGAATGCATTGCGGAATATGACGCTTTTTGGAAAGAAAACCGCGAATTCGAAGCGCACTGTGTAAGTTGCACAGCGAGCTGGAGAATCTGACGGTTAATTAAGGCTATTAGCATAAATGGAGATACTGGTCATAAATAATACAAAACATTTGACAAAATACCCCAATGCGGCAAATAGTCCTCGAAGTGGGCCTGGCCATGTCCGGCTTCAATCGCTGCGTTCGCCGACCCGAGCTCTATCTCTGGTACCACTGGAGTCGGCGTCTGTACCCTCCTCGACGCGCTGACGACAAATGAAGGATGGCCTGCACTCAATGTCGGTCATATCTTTCTTAACGTTCAGCACTATGCACTCTATCTGGCTCGCACTTGTTTGGGCGCTCCTCCTACAGTGCTCTTCCGACCAGTGTCTCACAGCTGCCGCTCCTTCAGTCGGCTTGGTCCGCAGGGATGGAGGGGGGACTCGTTCGGCAACATGGGTGAGTCTGGTATCAGCCTGTACTTCTACGCGCTGGTATACTGACCATTGGGACACATTCCCAGGTCCCCATACTCGTTGTCGTCCTTGCCGTAGCTGCCCTTGTATTGTATCTCGCGTTACGTCGGCGACAGTTGCAAAGGCTTGCGGATAGGGCAGCCCCACTAGCTCGTTCTGCTCGAGATCGCGCGATAGGCAGGCGAGGGTCCGAACCCCAGGTTCGGGAAGTCACCGCGGAACAGTTGACGGGAGTCAGAGCTCCTGCTGCTACCGCGAATCAGACTGGTCAAACGAATACTTCTGCGACCCCCGGTACCAATGGGGGGACTACAGGTGCGCCCCGGAGAACGAGAAGACCGGGAAGGACGCCTAGTCAGATGTCCACTAAGTCTTTGCCTCAATACATGAAAGAACCAGGCGAGGACGAGCTCGTAATCTATCAGTGAGCGAGGACTGGTTGCGCTGTCTTTGATAATATTGCTGATACACCCACTTTGTAGAGGCACTCCCGAGACTGACGATGTTACTGACGCTGACGGCCCCGAAGGGGGCCATGCCCGTATCACCTCTGCACGAATTTCAATACACACCACGCAATCAGAAATGCCACTCTTACGCTCAGAATCTAACGACTCTTCTAACACCAATTTGCTCACTGCCAACCGCGATAGCGCGGCCGCGAGGACCAGCCTGGAGACCATTGACGATTCTATGGAGAACAATGCTGTTCCAGTTCAGAATCGATCTTCCGTTGACATTTCCGAATTACCCCCAACCTATGATGTCTCTTCATCACAGCTGAATGTTTCCAACGCCGCTGCGGCCACCAGCATGCCCAATGTGCCTGAAGGAGTCGCAGTCATGGACTCTTCGCGGCATGAGCCAGCGACAGGTATGCGGCGCGGATTGCGCGGACTGTTCAACGCGATGAGTAATCCGACTTCGAGAGGCCAGAGTGCTTCTGCGCCAGCCGTGCCACAGGCCCCTGATGACACTCGTCAGTCCCGGATATCACACACTCACAATCGCGACAACTCTGGCTATTCCGTGGGCACTATCGGCTCCGGCAGCTCACACTCCCACTCGAATTCGCATGACGGAGCGCGATCGGCGAGGCGTACTCACCGCCCAAGCCAGTCGGGCAATAGTTCTCTATTCGGTCTCGGTTCATCCGCATTCCGCACCGTATCTCGCCAAAGATCTAGTAACACATTAAATTCCGTTCATCTGAACTCCCCATCCACAATCTCATTACATTCTATCTCCGCACCGTTGAGCCATACTCTCACAAGGACGGAGATTGTTTACCCTCGGTCAGGACCTACACCCGAGCAGCTCAAGTTGATCTCTTCGCGGGAGTCGCTGGGGAGGTTTGGTGTACCGTACGGCCCAGATGCTATTGCCTATGCGGCGTCCTCTTCTAGGTTGAATTTATCCATCCCTCCCCCTGATTTCGATGCTTCAGTTGCCGCCACATCGCGTCCCCGTACTGGCGACTCGAGCAGATCACAAGGCGAGATGGTGAGGCCCTCTACAGGCCAGTCGCATTCCCAAACGGAGTCCCCTGATAGTACGACGAGCCTCGAACCGAGCCCTCAAGACCGTACCGACACGCCCGCGGATACGCGTGACGTTGAGGGGACGCCCGCCCAGGAGCCTGAAGCGCCGAAGCCAGAAGCAGACGTGCATGAGGCAGGACGATCCCAAGAAGTTGCGTCTTCGATTACAGCTGAGACGGAGACTCCTCGGAACACCGTCATAGGACTCGCAGGGCCAAGCAATGGACAAACCGCCTCGGCTGCTCCTCCCTCGTCTTTCAAGCCAGTCCAAGAATTCCGTGCAGTCTCCAGAGCGAGCACGTTGCAGTCGTTCGCGACGGCTGAAGAGTCTATGCCTACGACGCCTTCTACTGAGGTCTTCGTTGATGTGGAGCCTCCGACACCGTCTGCTTCCAGTCCCGCCGCTTCGGAGCCCTCGACACCGAGACTGGCCCCTGCGCACATGCAAGAGCCCACTGATGCAACCATTATGCCTGTTGTGGCTCAAACAGCCGTTCATTGATGCGCTCCACCATTAGGTGGGCGTGCGGGTTGGGGTTTGCATACCATTCCAAGTTCTCGATGGGTGTGCTTCGGGTAACGCAGTCGCGTACTGGAATCATTTTGCCAGAGAAATATTAGATCATTCCCTCTCCATTCTGGGGCTTTGGTTCATCATATATTCAACGGACGGTCAACTTCCCGATATCTTGCTACAACATGTATCCGCTTCCGTTAATAGATTAGTAGATCTGTGTATGAGTATGTAGACTGCCGCCCCGTCCATCGCATTGTTTTGCCCACTCATGTAGGTGCGAGTAAGACGTGCGTTGTAACTTGTTACACGATGCATCCTACTAGTAAATTGCACACGATGCGGCAGAAGACCCTCACTTTGCATGGACTCGGGAAATTGCTTCGCCGGCGTGCAGCTACACTTTAGCACCTTATCGTTAATCACTTCCTTCTCGCTTTAGTCAGGGCTTTTATAGCTGCCTCCAAACGATACACCGAGGTTTAAAACCCCCGAGGTCCAGAGAGCTTCTCCAAGCCGCTGCTCTGGCACCTAGGTCGACGACTCGACTCTGCGCCATAAATGCGGATTTGGCATTTCATCAATGGTTGGTACCTTGTGTGTTCTCACAAGCTGCCCTCGTACCATGCGGTCTCACTGACTGCGAATGTGAAGAATTAGGAGCAATCTCTCTGGAGTGCCAGGAATAGCTGTTCTCGTCTCATACATAGCAACCGCCCGCCAATTGCGTACCGTCCTGCAGAAGGATGCCCTCCCGATGTGCTTCTCCCTTATCTCTGCGGCCCTTGGTCACTGTCTTGGTCAAAATCGCAATGCCGTATACTGGCGTTATATATACTGAGGCTATCTGCACCAGGGTTGACCGCTAGCTGTGTCAGAAGATCTGACTTCTGACGCTGTTAGCGGCCTTCAACATGCTATGGACATTCCTGACATTGATTCTGGGGCTAGCTCTCGCAGCTCATGGAGGTACTACGGAGGCAACATCTGACCCTTGCGCTGGGATCGCCGGCCAAAGTTTCGTAGTGCCTGGGGACGCTTTGGCTTGCCTGAAGTCATTTCCGTTTAACGAGACGCTTCGACAGAACGTCCTTACGGTGATCTCCCGAGTCTTTGACTTCTACACCTTTGAGGACTACTATTTGAATTCGCCTCCTCCGTTTCAAGAATCCACCACGAACATCAGAGCGGACATAGCGAGAATCAATAGCACAAGTTACGCGGTGAGTCCACAGGCTGAAAGCGCCGAGAAGACAGTCTGACGTCTCTCGCAGACTGATTACGACTTCAATCGTGCTGTGTATGACTTCACGAACCAACTCAACGATGGTCACACGAGTATGGCTAAAATTTTCGCGCCGAAATCTGTTGTCCCCTTATTCTCCTGGTCTTCTCCACAGGATGGCTCACGGACTGCTATGGGACTTTCGAGAATCTCCTGCCAGCACCGATAGTGACTCTTCAGGAAAACGGGGCAGAAGGCGTCTACATTATCCCTGATCTGGCGCAGCTTATTCCGCTGGTGGGCACCGAATTCACGGATTACTACGCATCGATCGGATTCAATTGGGAGCGGCTAGCCGGCGCACGAGTCCTCCAAATAGAAGGGCAGGATCCCTACGCCTATGTCGACTATATTGCAGATACCGCGTCTGGAAATTATCTCGACCACGGTGTCCGTGTCAACAGTGTTTTCAGCAGCTACAGAATTGCGGATACCTCATTCTCACAGCGCTTCGGTGATCTTGCTGGCACTTCATTCCCTGATCAAGAGAGCCTTACGTTCAACCTGATCCTGGCTAATTCGACCCTCCCCGAAACTGTGACCGTACCGTTCTTAGCGATTTACGCAGGAAACAACTTCACAGACTCAGCGTCGTAGTGAGTGACTAGGACGTGCCACCCACCGGTCTTAACTTACACGCTGTAGCTGGGGAAACAACTGTGCCGCGAACAACGCCACAAATGGCGTCGATCTACTCGCATCCAGTGGCCTGAAAGAGCGGGAAGAGCGAACCCGACGACTGGCTCGAGCCGTCATCGTTGACAAGTCTCAGACTAGTGCTGTGGGTCTGCCTGACCCGTATCTCCCGACTGCTCCTCCAGTGAATGGTAGTACCGGCGTAATAAAGTCATTCGTCCTTCCTGACAACAAAACTGGAGTTGTAAGTGCTGCGGAACTCGGGTGGGGCAATAGCTAAAATCCGTTGCTCCAACCGTATTAGATGTTTGTGGGGTCGTTTGAAGGTGATTATGTCCAGTTCCAGACAGACACTCAAGCTGCGGTCGCCGCCTTCCAGGCAGCAAACGTCACTCGGCTTCTGGTCGACTTGACGAACAACGGAGGTCCGTAGTTATGGTCTCAATGCTAGAAATATGCTCGGCCCGTCCTGACTGCGTTGAAGGTGGATATGTCTGCCTCGGGGAGTTCCTCCATTCGTACTTGGCTGGCTCGAATTTCGGATATACGTGAGTTCATGATTCTTACTGCTACCAAAGCGAGGATGCGAACAGTATTCCGCTATCGCAGTGGTTTCCAATCGTCGTCTCGGGCCAATCCTTTAGCAGTCAAGATCGTACAGGCGGACATTGCGAAAGGAATCACCGCTAACATTTCATACTATGCTCCGGATAACTGCAAGTCGCGTCCTTCATCGACAGGTCTGCACGGCTGAATCGAACCTGTTGCAGGGGCCTTCCTGAACGATACCGAGATGCCTGAGGGCTACGACTACAACGACCCATCGGTGTCTCTGTTTATCAACGGCCAGCAGGACGCAGACTCGCAGAGGTTCCATGTACGTCAGACATCGAGTGTACGAGGCTCATCTTGAACTGGTGTCAGGACCTGTGCACCCCGTACAATGTTGACCTGCCCGAGAACCCCCCGTTCGACCTCAGGTATGCACCATTTCTGCACCCTGTGTTCTGACCAGAAAGTGGATACGTTGCCGATAGAAATGTCGCTATCGGTGCGTCAATTCTTGTCTCACTTGGGACAATGACTCAACATCCGCACTTTCAGTGAGCAACGGCAACTGTGCTTCGACGTGCTCCATGTTCAGCACGAGCATGTTTGAGCGGCACGGAACGAAGATAGCCGTATTCGGCGGGAAGCCTGGTGAGATCATGGAATACAAGGGTACGCATCTTTGGGTTCTCGCAAGACCTCTTATCTCAAGGAGTCTGCTCTCAGGCATGGCTGGCAACCAGGTATTGGAATGGAGTGATATTGATACGGAGATCAAGACTGCTGGGTTGAAAAACGTAAGTTGACCGAGTGCTGAGAGGTTCACTTGTCGGACCCTGCTGTAACAATCGTTGCTCCTGCTCCCTTGCAGGACCCGCTAGCACCACCTGATCTGTGAGTCTGTCCGGCTGTCGCACGAACCGCGCCCAACTGACGTGCGGATCCGTGCAGGCTCGTCTCTGGTGATTTCAGGTATGCCCTTGTCCTTGACTGACACGTCATCCTCGCCGACCACTTCATTCCCCGAAGGCACAATTGGAGAACAGGTAGATATTCCTCCAGTGCCCCTATATACGGGCTCACCGGCGATGTCTAGCTTGGAGCTACTTCGACGAGTCAAGGCCGATAGCATACGTCTCGGAGCCTGCGCCATGTAAGTTGTGTTCTGCCCGAGCAGAGCTCGACGGGTCACTTATCACGATCGCGTTAGATCGATACCCGTACACGAAGGACACGTACATGAACCCCCAGAACTTGTGGACATTTGCGTGAGTACTGACTCGGATGGTCTTGATGTATAATCACGCCAACCGGCTGTTGTAGGGCAAGCCAGCTGTTGGATTGAGGGGAACCAGAGGGTTTGGTGTCAAACCCGAGCCTGGATGTTTTTTCGCGGGGTAAATAGCTGTATAGCCAAGTAGATGCGTCGCGACATTCGAGCATACCTCTCCGATCCTACCCGGCTGCTATCCCGCACGGGGTACGCCTGCCCACTTACAGGCAATAAGATCTGTAGGGCCTCGAACCTCATTTGTGAGATTCAGAGTTAGGTTTCCGGGACCTGCAAGTTTCTGGTATATATCTCCTGTGTGGACAGCTATGATTCATCACTCCATCTCGTATCCGAAAGAATGCAGGATGCCTACCGACGTGCGTACCTTTGCTCGCGTCTAATGGGCCTCGTGTACGTCCGTTGCTCGGTATAGTCATGGCTGTTCTCACTGGCATACGAAGCGCTCGTCGCTAGTCACGCTAAGACGGCCTCAAAAGGTCGCCGAAAGACACATGGGCAGGAATCGATGGCTTGCCAATATCAGGCTGGGGTGAGGTCAAAGATAGACGATTTTCATGGTGGTGGTAGCGGGCAAAACACAAAGAGGGCAATTTAGAGTAATCGTTAGCGTGGTGAAAGGGCAAGTGGCGAAAGCTGTGGCGGAGGGTGGTTTGTCGCCGTCTGAACTGTTGAGCGCTGTTTGCATCGACCACGACTCACGACTTCCTTGTTCCACGACGACTACGACAACGACGGCTTCGACATCGCGGCGGCTCTCGGGCTCGTCATCATACATAGCGCGCGGCGTCGGAACTTCATAGATGTCGGGCAAGGCGCCCCCAAAGGGGCCTCGAGCGCTGTTGAACTCCCTCGCCGCGGCGTCTTCGAGCTCGTCGCCCGCCACAACATCGACGCCGCCGGCGCCGGCGAACTCGCGAATTGGCGCACCACCTCCCACTGGGCCGCGTAGTCTTACCAAAGGATACGCGAACGCGGGCCACGGGTTCCCTGCAAAGTCTAAGCAATTCCCGAACAGCCATTATGCGAGCCCGACGCCACCCTCACAACCTGCAGCGCTAAGCGGCAAGTATCCAGCAAAACCTAATGGATGGGCTCAGCCGGGGGGCGTGAACGGAGTAAATGATCAGTTTATAATGTTCTGGAGTTGCTGAGGCTTAGACGTTGATTTTGAAGGTACACTCGCAATACACGTCGCATCTGACTCAAGCTAACGGACGAATTGATGTCGGCGCAAACAAAGTAGTGGGACGCGGTAATCCTCCTTCGGGCCCGTCTGCGCTTGTTGGCGGCCGCGCGGTGCCATCTGCTCCTGCTGCTCTGTCGGGATCGCGCGCGCCGTCTCACCATGCACCTCCTCAGCCCCCGCCGTCTGAACCTCCGCCCCCTCCTCCTCCCCCTGTCGATGAACCGCCCCCGCCACCACCACTTCCAGCAGGTACACCTCCGCCGCCACCACCGTCCGGCACAGCACCGGCACCACCACCTCCCCCTCCTGCTTCAGCCCCGCCGCCACTGCCAGACCCATCATTACCGACGCCACCACCTCCACCACCGTCGTCGGCACCGCCCTCTTTGCCACCCGAACCCCCAACAGTGACCACCTCTATACCCGCCGCTCGCCGTCCCATATCCCTGAAGCTCCCCAACACAAACCCTCAGCCTGTGCCAGTACAGCCGTCCTCCGAGCCTCCGCCATTACCGCCTGCTCAACCCCCGCCACCGCCACCTGCTCCTCCTCCGCAGCGAGCGAAGTCGCCGACCCCACCACCGCCTCCATCGCCACCACGGCCTCCTTCGCCACCGAAACTATACTCTCTTCCTCCGCCGCCTCCGTGGCCCCCATCTCGCTCGGAGTATCCGCCCGGAAAGGATTTCAAGGTCCTATACGATCCTTCCGTGGACAAGGACCATGACAGGAAATTGCGCACGCTGCTTGAGACCGTCCGGGAGGCCACCTCGGCCTCGGGCGAATCTTCGACAGAGCCGCGGATAAAGGGGAAAGCAAAGGGGAAGGAGATCTTGTACAGATATAATGGTGAGGTGGTGCAAGGAGAGGACGAGCCCCCGGTTAGAGACCCGCGGAAGGATCCCACAGTGCGGAAGCTACCAAGTTTGCGGCCGAAAAGGGACGTTTTCCATGAGATCAAATACGAGGTGCGCATCTTTACGTCCTATCTGGTCATATATTGAGCTGGAGGTATGTACAGTATGATGCGAATTCCACTGGTCCTCCCCCTCCCACTTCCGTTCTCGTGACCAATATCTCGCCTTTGACACCCAATCAGCAAATCAGGCGGCACTTCGCTGTGCATGGCCATATCCAGTCATTTGAGCCTCAGATCGACAAGGCGAACGGTGGGCCCTTGGGTATCGTGTTCATAAAGTATGGCTCGCACGAGGAGGCGAAGAAGTGTGTGCAGAAGGAGAACGGAAAGAAGCTGGGTATCGTAGGTGCTGGGTTGAACGCGAACGAGGGTGAGATGACGGTTGTCTTCGATGGAGAGGGCCATAAGTTAAAGGCGGTACTCAAGGAGCTGGACGCGCGAAGGAAGCGGGAGATCGATGAGAAGAAAAGGAAGGAGAAGGAGGCAAAGGAGGCAGCATCTGGTGCTGGTAGGGCTCCCCCTACTCCCACTTCTTCATCCGCGACTCCTGTGGCTGGTCCGGGACGGACACCGGTGAATGCCGCTCAGCCCTGGCGACCCAATAACCAGCAGCAGCCGACTCCCCCATTGCAGCCTCCGTTCCGTCCCCAGGCGCCCTCGAACCCTCGCAGTTTCCAAGGCCCTCACCCCCATAATATCCGCCTCCAGCATCCTCTTCCCAACACGCCCTCTCCTCTGGTCACGAATCATCCTGACGCTCAAGATCCTGTGCGCACCCCGAAAAATGGCGCGACGCCTCTGGCTTCTGGTGCCCATCCGCTGTCCCCATCTGCACCCGTCCGCAGGCCACCGGCATCACTGGTCCGGGCTCGCATCATGAACACCACCGCGAAAGCCACCCCGATGGCCGCGGGGCATCCTCCCCCTCCTCTTCGATTTGTGCCTTCCCCAACTCCAGCCTCCTCTTCCTCTACCCCCGCCCATCCCCCGCCTCGAGGCCGGACTTTCCACCAGCTTCCTGCCCGACCTACATATGTGTTTCACCCGTCGCCGTCGGCTGGACCTTCGAGGTCTCCGTCACCCATCTCAAGGCGTCCTGGCCAGGCTGGCCGATCGGCCAAGCAGAGGGAGAGGGAGGCAGTCTTGGAGGAGTTGGCTAAGAACGGGTTCGATCACGTCAAGCTGGACGGGCACGGGGCTCAGCTTAGTGGCGCAGTTAGAGAGGAGGATGTTCATCAGTTCTTTGACGGGTTTAAGGTGGATAAGGTAAGTAACGGTACGTCTGTGACGCTTGGTGCATCACTGATCTACTCTTTGCGCAATGTGCCACCCATTGTTCTCGCTTTGCCATACAATGAACCCGCACATATTTAGGTGCTCCGAGATTCCACAGGCTGGTACGTCACCTTCAAGACGCACGATTCGGCTCGTCGAGCCACACTCGTACTATCTGGACGGACGCTCTCGCACCACTCTGTCAGCCTCAGTGTTCACCCGCCACCTACGGCCCCTTCTGCTCCGGCTAAGACTCGCTGGACGGATACGGAGCTGATTGACCAAGCGGAGAGCCTCATTGTCAAGGAGCTCCAGTCACTATTGGAGAAGGACATCTCGGATCGGATTATTGCGCCTAAGCTTCGGCAGCTTACCAACGAGGTGAAGTCCAGGAAAGGCGGTCTACACGCCGGCCAGGAGGTCATGCCACCGGTACCAGATGCCGTGATGCTGGAGTCGAGCCGTTTGAAGGGTCTATCCTTCAAGAAAGCAAAGAAGCGCCCAGCTGTCCCGCCTCTAGACTATCGTGCCACCGTCCATGGATTGCCTCCTAAACCTACATTGGTGGAAGAGGCGGAAGTGGATGGAAAAAGGGAGGACGAACCGGAGAACGAAAGCGCAGCTGGGGATGTATCTGCGAAAGCCGCCCCCGCCAAAAAGCGGAAGAAAACTCGGAAAGGGGTGGTTGAGGTCGAGTCAGAGGAGGAAGACGAGCGGCCAAAGAAGAAGAGGAAGGATGAGGTCAAGAAGGTTCTTGCTGAGGATATCGAGTCCGAAGATGAAGAGCCGATGCCCGACCCTGGGCTCAACAACGTCCAAATTCGTGCCGAGTCTGAAGATACGGAAGCATCGGAGCCTCCACCGAAACGGAGGAGGACCGAGTCACTGCTGGATGACGAACTGTTGTCTACAGTGGTTACGCAAGCCAAGTTATCGCCCGGCAAGAAGAAGCAGACTACGGGTGGTGCTGTGCTTGACGGCAAAGTCGGGCACGCACCTCTTACAAGGGATATCCGCGAGAGTTCTATCGATTCGTTGCTGTCTCCCTCGCCTTCTCCTGAACCACGTCGACTGCCGCGTGCTCCGAGTCTTCCACCTGGTGAGGATCTATGTCAGGACGACGAAGACCTCTACTTCGCAAGACTTGTTCTTTCTGGCGACAAGGAAGCCCTACCTGCCTTGAAACCACCGGATCCTGACCCATCTGAACCACCGCCATTCCGTGTACATGTTAGCGGCTCCGCTCGTACCGAAGGCTATTACAAGATATCTCACGCGGAGAAGTCGGCCTACGTTGCGCAGTATGCCGCTCGATCTGAGACGACTGGTGCAGCCGAGCAGGAAGAGCGTAATCAGCAAGAGCACGTTGTATCGTCTCGATCTAATCGTGCAAACGCTCGTCGGCGTGCGCAGGGCCTTGAGGAGATGAACGAACTCCAACGGGCCATCGCTTTGTCAAAAGGGGAGTCCGCTGCGGCCGATGTCACGGTCAAGTTCAATCAGCTGCAGTCTCGCAAAAAGCAGCTTCGTTTCGCGCGGTCTCATATCCACGACTGGGGTCTGTTCGCTATGGAAAGGATCTCCAAAGGGGACATGGTCATCGAATACGTCGGAGAGATCATTCGGGCCCAAGTCGCGGACAAGCGAGAGAAAGCGTATGAACGTCAAGGCATTGGCAGCAGTTATCTCTTCCGGATTGACGAGGACTTGGTGGTGGACGCGACGAAGAAGGGCAATCTTGGGTACCTAAAATCTTCTTGCATTATATCCAAAGCTAACGAGAAGTGCAGGCGTCTCATTAATCACTCGTGTGATCCCAATTGTAACGCCAGGATTATTACTATCAATGGAGAGAAGAAGATAGTAATTTATGCCAAGCAGGATATTGAGCTTGGGGACGAGATTACTTATGGTACGTCCTGCCCGTTGGACTCGTAAGTACATGACTGACCTGTTTTTGCTAGATTATCATTTCCCTATCGAGCAGGATAAAATCCCCTGCTTGTGTGGCTCGGCCAAATGTCGAGGTTATCTCAACTAGATATTCCGTCGTATTCCCGATTGCGTACTCATACCCTCGATTGCTGTCGTTCGTCGGTCACGTTGCATCATCATCGCATGTATATTTATATCATTCAAGTGCCTCTTTATTTTGGTACAGTCGTCCTGCCGTCGAACGTGCAATGCATGACTGGCTACGAAGTATTTCTCCGAAACGGCAGTGTAAATTTCCACGCAAGAAGGCCTAGGGTGGCGTTTGACATAGAGCGAACCGCTCCTTGCATTCCAGCCATTTGCAGTTCGATGGGCCCACTTATTGAATAATTATTTACAGTCGGACCATGTCGGAGAGGGGAAATCAAGTCCCCGAGGTGTCAAAGTCTGACCATCGAGACTTCTTTTCACTCCTCCGACGTCCCTGGCACCATCTCCGACGCACTCCGACGATATGCGACTTCTTAAAGTGGTGGCCTATCGATCTGCAAATGGCTGTCACTCAAGAAATTTAAATACTTTCATTGCTCCGGCTGCTGGGGCCAGCCGCTTGAATAACACCTTCCCACAGGTATCACCAGGCACCCCCTTCTTTCTCCTAGACACTTGCCAGCAGTGCTGAACATGCAAGAGTCGGTCGCAAGGCAGTTCCGCAATATGCAGAACAGGAATATGAGCTCGGTTGGATTGATCCACCCGCGGACGAGAGCCCGGGCCCGGATCGGAGTAGGATGAGTAGGATCATGTTTCGCCCGAAAAGTTCCGTGAGGCCGAGGTCCCTGAGCTCGAAGCGTAAGAGGCAATCACTTGGATTGACAGCCTCTGGTTCAACTTCAGGGTTATATATAGCGTCCAAACTCTTCATTGACTGACACTGACAGCTCACGACAAAATGATAGAGACTCGCAGAAATCCTGGGATGGAGTCCGGATGACAAGGAAGACGTCAAATACGGTAGGACGCCATGCTTGGAGCACGGACGATGGGCGTGGACTGGGAGACCAGTCCGTGCTATGATATTCGTGTTGACACGGACCTTCTATGTCACCGAGACTCCATCCTGAAAAGTCGGAGGAGTCTCTATCGTTTGTAGTTAGCTGGAACGGCTCAGAGTGCTCCCTATTACTGGCGATCAGACAGATGGAAACAACATTCACGTATGGTTTTTCAGCGCAATTTCAATGTTTAGGCACCACTGCCACTCCACAATTGACAGTCACCGCAGAAGTCGGGGACAAGTACCCCTGGGCCGTGGAGATCGGTAGGCAAACTGCGGCAACGTCTTCGAAGACCGCAGACTCTGTAGAGACGAGGCCTGACGGCGACTGACAATCATGCCAGCGCCGCGGTCACGATTCGTCTGTGGCCGACAACGTAACCTGAACGACTGGTATAGCAAATTCATGCGGTTGAAGTCGATGCATATCACAGCATAGCCTTGTATCTTCTAGTCAAGCAACTGGTTCGTCTGACTGGTGGCAAGAAGTAGCTGTGGACGATGGAGGTCATGATCATGAGGCTTCAGAGCATTAGGCTTCCGATCCGCCGCGCATGACACTTCTTGAAAGTGCAGAGCCTCGGTCTTTGACTATTAGTAAAAGACAGAACATTAGGTCTAGAAATGCCAGGTTTATCCCCGCACCAATGTACATTCGTTGAATACTTAGGTTTGGATACAATAGCATCACATAGTGCAACGCACTCAAGAGAGGCAGGCAGAGCGGCACGGATAAGGGTATCCTCGCTCGATGAGAGAGAAATGGGAGACCAGTCCCGCCCTGCCGTGCTACGACGGGTCCGAAGTGCAGCCGCCAATGTCACAGCCCGCGACTCCGAAGATCGATCATGGGTGCTCCGCGGCATGAATCCGCAGGCACGAGCCTGGCAGTCGTCCAACACCACCAGATCTGTCGTGTCTGTCAAGCACAAGGGTTCACGGCGTCGAAAAGCCTATTCTTATCACGAGTCGGTCCTGGGCATCACGATTGATTGCCCAACTCAGCACCTTGACGACCATTCTGAGGAGTAGGAAAAGCAGGGGAGGAGTGTCGAAGTCCTGACATATGGCGAATTGGAGGGAGCACTTTCAGGAACGGTCGCAGTCCGGGCTGTACTCCGGACGTGTCGTTTGTGACCAGCACGCTACGTAGATAGCAATTTTGTCCAGAACATACGATGGCAGATAGGGCGGCGGGAGTGGGTTATATGCCGAGAGAAACCCCGCTGGTCGCACCGCCTCATAGTCTGATGTTTGATGAAATCTTTGATATCGCGCAGGGAAAGCCACATTGGAGGAGCGCCCACCGCCTGGGCCAGTCATGATCGCTCTGCGGAGAATGGTCATCAGGGCGCGATCCAGGTGTGTGAGTTATAGCAGTGTGAAAGATCAGATACCCTTCTTTTATGTCAGGTGGACCCTGTATTAAGAGCCTAGGAGAGGTGCCAGCCGCAGCGGCGGAAGCTAAACCTGTCTCATTAGGTCGTACAGGTATAGAGTACAACATTCATAGCGTCCGTTGGCCAGAGGCGTCGGCGACGATCGCAAGGGCCAACAAAAGCTACGCACGAGTCCATGACACCATACCAGGCATGGCTACATAATCAGCAAAGCAAGCCAACTGCTTCACGTACAGGGTATAAATTAATCAAAACAGAGACTTCATTCTATCGTCATGGTCCTAGACGTGCGGCTGTTCTGCCACGAAATGCGGCGTCGGGGGCGTCCCTAGGACTGACTGAGAGGGCAAGGGCATGTCGTGCATTGCGCCATTCATATTATTCCCTACGTGTAAGCCATCGGCGGATAGCGGGTGCATCCGTTTTCGAGGAGGTACAGAACCATCCTAATCCGAGTCATCAGGATCATGAGCCGCTCCAGTCGAAGTGACACACGTTACCTCTCCGTCGCGTGGCGCGTCTATGCTACGGTCAATAGGTGCGGGAAAGAGCTAACATAAGCTTCCGGCGCACCTTGCATCCCAGTCTGGTCCCAGCTCCTGAGGTGTTTTCGGCCGTTCATGACCCTTTCTGAGGATAACATCTGAGGTGACGAGACAGACCTTGAAAGATCCTGGATCGCACGATGATGATTATACAAGAATCCGAATTTCGGCAATGTGCTCAACTTACGTGATCCATCAGCCTCGCCTCGCTGGACTGGAACTGGTCCACTCTCAGCGACTCCATCTGCGACCAGTCGATCGCCTGCCCGACGTGCGCCCCGGCTGCGCGTGGCGGATGCGACGAGCCAGCAGCGCCCAAGTGCGGGTCGATCAAGCTCTCGTTCCACGTTGGCATGCCTACACGCTGATTGCTCCCTCGTCGCTCGTCCTGCGGTCGCGGCTGGCTCGGGCCTGCCTCGGGCTGGTAGCGTGATGGGCTCATGCGGCCATTCAAACTGCGCTGGGCAGACATGTCAGATGAAATCATGCCTGTGCCACTAGGCTGCATTGGATACTGGCGCAGTAGCTGGGACACTGCGGGAGCAACGTAAAGGTGTCATCAGTGCCGGGCAAAGTCAGAGGGAGTGTACGCACTTATGTCAACTTGATACTCTACAGCCCGGTTCATCTCCAGTCGTGCTTTGTTTTCTTTTTCGATGGATACGGAATATTTGGAGTAGGTGTCATGGACTTCTTGCTGGGCGCGCAACAGATTTGCTCGAGCATTTTGTACCAATTGCACTGTAAACGCATGTGAACTCATGTTAGGCTGGTATTAGCAAACTTAACTCACTCGCCAGCTCTGCTCTATGAAATATGGAAGGAAATTCCGTCGCGGTGGACGCAGACACCGAGCTTAGCAGCGACAACCGTGCTGAGGTGTCGGGCTGTTGTGGCGCAAAGCTGGGACTAACTGAATGCTGCTCGCTCTCTAGGAAAGAAATCAGCGATGAAATTCTACAATTAGCAGAACGCGCATGCCTGTCCTAGCTTTGCACAATGCGTTCCAACTTGCCGCAGAACTGCTGGGATCTCCACCAGGTTCCGGGCTCTCTGAGCCGAGGTCTTGAGACGTAGGCGGGGGCGGATTTTGCGTGATGCCAGCTTCTCGCAAACGGGGGTTATGTGGGACCCCAGCAGTCTGACGCTCCACGAATTTCCTGAGAAACGCAAGCTCGATATTATCGGGCATGATGTAGGGCGGGCCAGGAATGTCGCCCTTCTGCATGAGCATTTCTAGATGAGACATGACCTTGTCCTTCAGCTGCTGCAGCCATTCGTGCAGCTCCATATGATCCTGGTCTGCTCTCGCATCATAGTCCTGCCTCCTGCGCGCCTTCCTCCAGTAGGTCTTCGTCAACTTGAGCGCCTGTGTGACTTCACTGTCCAGTAGACGATACCAGTCGCTTGCTTGTCGGGTAAGACGGACCTCGAGCACGCCAGGCTGTACTCGCAGCTGCAGCAGACATCGACCCTGCTCATCCGGGGGACCGAGGACGCCCTTCTGGCCTTGATTGCCTCGCGTGGCGCCACGAGATATGTTCCCAAGCTCGGGCCAGGGCAGGTCATCGTTGGTCATTGCGAGGTTGTTGGGATGACGCGGAAGTGCTTAGTTTGAAAGAGGGTCGATATTCGGCGGGCGGGCGAGGTATATAAGACTGCAAGAAACAACAGGCATCAAACACTTCCTAGTCGGCCATACAGGCTCAAATAAAATGATGGCTGAAAGACTCGGGGCTGGGATTGATGCAACCTTAGCTGATGCGCAACCGGAGGCTTATGGGAGCCTCTAGTGAATCACTCTGCCACACAACTTCACATACACAAGCGGCAAGATCTGCATCTCGTTACATCCCGCGCAGAAGCAGAGAAGAACGACCGATTTCCCATACCAGTTCAGCTATATCCATCCATCATCAACACCTGTTCGTTGTCTGATGACCCCCTCGCCGAGTTTCCCACAGTAACCGCCCTTATCCATAATACAAGACAGATATTCAGAAATGGCATGCAGGAGCTGATTTAGTGGCTCCCGAAACCGCCCTCCCGTACTCGCGTCCTGAAGCACCCAGTAAATAAGGCTGAAACGATGCCCTTCCTTCTCGTCTTCTCCACCCCGACATGTGTCGCGACGGCGGGTTACAGGGACCTACGCCGAGAAGTCCACTCCTTGCGCCAGAGGGGCTTTATCCGAAAAGTTGATCGTGCAAGCACTCCAGCGCACGTATTGTTTCCATGCATCACCGCCGGACTCCCGACCCCTGCAAGTAACAACGTCAGCACCCAATCGTACCTGCATCCGTAGTCTGCCTACCATCCCGTGCTCTGCAGGCAACGTAGCCCAGCCTGTAAGAATAAATCCATCAGATCAAGTTGCTATCCTCACCTTGTTTCCGCCGAAGGCCGCTCCTATCTCCGCTCCGCTCGTACCGACGTTCACCTACATACCCCTTCTTTAACACAGGAGTAACCATAACAAGCAACGTCAAACCGCACGTTAACGATCCCAGCGTCCGAACCTTCTGGGCCGATCCATTTACCAACCGTTCTAAGATCCCGAGTGAACAGAGTACTCGACAGCCCCTGGGGCACGCCGTTATTCCACTCAATCGCTTGCTCGATGTCTTCAAACACGGCCGCGTTGAGAACAGGCGCAAACGTCTCCGTGCTCCAGATCTTGTCCTGCGGGTCTGCGGTCTTGGGCAGTGCAATCGTAGGCTTGACAAAATAGCCTTGATCCAAGGGAGGCGAACTGTAACGCTCCCCGCCGGTAACAATCTCCGCGCCAGCATCCCGCAGATAGCCCACAGCATCAGTATACACTTTGATAGCGTTGCGCGTGTGCAGGGGCCCAAGAAGCGTTTCCTTGGCGAGCGGATCACCTGCGCGGACCGAGGCATAGAGCTTCTTTAGCCGCTCGAGGAACTCGGGTGCGATATCGCGGTGGAGGTAGAGACGGCGCGTCGAGGTGCACCGCTGGCCTGCCGTCCCCACAGCACCAAAGAAGACCGCCGGGATCGCAAGCGACAGGTCCGCGTCCGGCATGATGACGGCAGCTAGTGCGCAGACGGAGAACAAGGTTATCTCGGGAACTATAATGAGCAGCGGCACCAGATATCATACCGTTATTTCCTCCCAGCTCGAGAAGGACCTTGCCGAATCTGGACTGAACCACTTTCCCGACTGCGCGCCCGACAGCCTCGCTGCCGGTAAAGGAGACTGCAAAATCCCGGTCTGTAAGGATCTATGATGGTGCAGGTTGAAGTCATTACCCATATCAACCCCTCTGTCTTCTACGATAGCTTCGCCGACGTCTTTACCACCAATTACTAAACCGGCAACAGCACCAGGAATCCCATTCTCCTCGAGCACCCGTGATATAATCTGTGTTACTGCGATTGAACAGAGCGGGGTACTCGGAGATGGCTTCCAGAGCGTCGCATTACCCGCAGCCAGGGACAATGCCAGATTCCTAGTTTATATGAAACGTGAATCGGAGAGATACGAGCACAATTCTCGGCGCTGACCATCCATATACTGCGACTGGGAAATTGAAAGCAGATAGAACGGCTATAACACCTAGTGGATTTGGGACTGTAACACGAAGGGACTGGGGTTATAATCGTTCTTCTGCGAATAATGTCAAGACAAATGCCTTCGAGAATTGAATGCCCGGGTCTCTCTGAGCTGACCACTCGGCCATTCATCATTCGAGAGAGTCCCACACCGTAATCGCACTAGAAAAAGCAAGGTAAGCAGACCAGGCCACCGGAGATATATTCCACGAAGGAACGCACGATATCCACAAACTCTTGGACTTCGCCAATACCTTCGGTCCTGATCTTGCCCATCTCGAGTGACACAAGCGCCCCTAACTCATCCCGCTAAAGACAATGCATGAGCGGAGACCTTGGTACACCACAAGCGCCATCAAAGCTTACCTTCTTCGAGAGAGCATACCGGATTTGTCTCAATATCTCGCCCCTACGTGGGGCCGGGACACTTCTAAAGTAGCGGTAGGCCTCTCGCGACTTCGCTAACGATTCGCGCAACTCGGTGGGGGTAGCCTGAGGAGCGATCCAATCACCCTCGTTATGCCTGTCTCCTCCTGAAGCGAACCTATGCAACTCACGGACTTCACTCGCGCGAGAACCTCGCCCGTCGTTGGACACACGCTTTCAAGTATATCCCCTGAGCCCTTCCAGCTTCCATCGTATACTCCAGACAATTCCTGACCGGTGGTAGGGATGTCCACCGACGAGAGCACCGTGGTCGCTCTGCTTGACAGCCCCCTCGCGAGTCGCACACTTTTGCTTCTAGTCAATCTTTTCGCGACAAACATAACTGAATCAACCCGGTCAGCCTTGAGCGTGTCGTGGCAAGTTACACGTCTGTTCGACACCGGTCACGGATGTCGACGCGTCTCGTGTCTTGATCCGCCCGGTCATTCGATCGTACAATAGAGAGATTCGGCAATTACCGATAAAGATGACTTCCTTACCGAGGACCAATGAGCGTCGGCTTCCTGTGGCTGCTTCTCTATGGTTGGAAGCTTCAGAATGCAGAGTCGGCAAAGGGATGTAGGGCAATATCCCCGGAGGATAGTGTGCTATCGTAGTATCTTCTGGACCTCTTGAGCATACGTGAGTGTAAGTTCTCATCCACATAGGTGATCATTGGACGTAATATCACTCGAGCCCGGTCTTCCCAGCTCTTCCATAGGCACTAGCGACCGAATCGCGGAGCCGTCAGAATAATATACTTCAACTGTCAATCTTTCAACCACAATGATGGACCTGGAAGTTCGACAATGCCTCTTCGCACATCTGTAGAATCGGTGACTCATAGTATAGCCGGGCATACAGCTTCGAACAGCGTTGATTCTGGTTCCCGATCCAAGTCAGACATATCCAACAAGTGCATGAACCACGCTACTATTGTTTCACTGTAAATTGATCTCTTCAGTTCATATTCTTATGTTAAATCTCTCTGCAGGAAGGGATATGACCAAGAGGCTATAATAATCAATCACAAGAGACGCCACCACATCTCTGAACAAGGAAAGAATCAGAAAATTCCGAGGATCGGTCCGTCAGCCGTGACATCTCTCCGCCATAACCATGGATTTTGCATCGGATGAAACTAATGGGGTACACCCAGACGCACGTTGAAGCAGTCCCGCATTAAGGCCAAGCATCAACACTCAAGCACCAGAACACAGTGGCAGGTATAAGTGACAATTTTTCTGACCACAACAATACAATGACATGACAGATCGAGATCTTGTGCTTCCCCAAGCTCTCCAACACCAAATATGTACAGGCACATCCACGTTAATGCATCCAGTTATTAACTGGACTGAATTTGCACAGTCTACTGGGCTTGAATATAGTGCCTAGGATACTCTTCTTCAATCTATTACGCAATTGCAGCACCGCCGCCAAATTGAGTCCATCACAATACTCGACATGAGCGTCACGAAAAGTACCCTGATGCCGGCATTCAAACATCCTCCGTCCAGCCCGAAGGTCATATCTATGCCTTGGACAGGTTGGTTCATAAGCACGCAATGATCATCGCACGCCGAGGATGGAGATCAGGGCTGCCGGACGTACCGCCGACCTCAGCTGTCCAAGACACGGGGCCCGGATAGTATACCTTATGCTAAGTTGCGCCATCTTTCGCCTTGGAGGAACTGGTGCCCTACGCAGTTCTTAGGCGAACTTCGTTGCTGCGAAAATAGGTACGAACAAACCTAACTTTCAGACAGGCCGACGTGTCTCGCGGTTGCTCGTGAGATCACACGAATGCTAATATTTACCTATCCTTGTCCAAGATATACGCTCTCCAGAGTCCTGCAAAAAAACTCATGCTGCCACTAGTATCCTGGCACAGTAGACGTGCGTGATGCCGGCATAATCAAGTACCCGTAGACTCTCGCTCCCAGCAGATAGTGATGCCAAACTGAAGCGCCACTTACCCTTCACATCCCCAGGCCAGGCGACGAGCACGCGTATTTTAGTATCCCCGAAAGAATGGGCCGAGGACGAGAAGAATGGGAAAACCGAGAGTAAACTTTCCGGCTCCTGTAAATTGTGAGCAATAGCATCACTTATGTCCTGGAGCACCCCGCGAAGCTACATTTGCGTGCAGACAAGTCGCCTCGGGATGAGATCATCCAGTACGGCACTGCACGTAGATTCGCATTCCCCGAACGCCTCTGGGTGGCGGAGACGAGTCATGATTCACGACGGAAGGATGCCAGCCTTGTTCCAAATCTATTCTTCCTGACTACCAGGATCACTAAGTGGCGGAGAGTCGGACAGGCTGTTTTCGGATCAGGATACGTCTTCTATCCAGAGGGACCTGAATCAGACAAAAAGGGAGCACAATCGATGATAAATATGTTTCGGCCTGGGACCAGACGAGATCGCAGTGAGTGACAGCAGCATGAGGGGTTAGCTCGGAAATTGTAGTCATCTCTGAAATCAGAGTCGCAGCGCGGACGCGAGACGAACTATCCGGTAGAAAAAAGAATACCGGCTGACCATCTCTCAAGGGCTCCTGGCAGATCTGTTGAACGCATCGTACTCAGTCAACCATGCAGCGCAGATAGACAGAATCACTGGTGTCGGGAGAAAGTTGCAACCGGAGTTGAAGATCAGTTAAAACCCGAGATGCCCAATTCCCGCACCCCATCGTCATTTGTTCCCTTTCGGATTATCGCAGAGTCCGTGGAAGCAGTAGTGTCGGTGATGGCGCGTAGGGCCTGATCCGAAGCAGCTCCATTAATGGATTTCCAGAAGGAATGTGGGTCCAAAACGCAATTATCTTGATACCGCGAACGTCGGAGGACACGGAGGCAGCACATGAGGCTGCGGCGGTTGCGACACGTGAGAGTCATGACGATCCCGTTGGCGAGAATATTCGTTTGCCCAGCTAAGTAGTGGTAAGAAACCGCTCCTTTTTACCTATGCGAACCCATAGACTTTATACGGGCTGGAAAGTACAGTACCTTACGCTCTCTTGTCGGAACCTGCCGCACTGGACGTGACAAGCGTTCGTATTGTTGCTTTCGGGCGAGAAAGCGCAGAAGGGCTAGCTTTTCTTGCTCACGGAGCACATGCTAATCGCGAATGGGGATAAATCATGTCATTCTCATTGACCAGAAGGTGGGGGAACAGCCTGAGGGGCCTGCGCGGAAGATGACACAGGGCTGATGAGGAACATCGGAAAGTAGGACGCAAAGAGGGCAAAAACTGCAAGCCTATGAAGGATGCGAGTCAGTAGAGCACGGTAATAAGCGAGTTGCTACCATCTCTCACATTAAGCTACTGAACGGAGGGTTCGCGCTGTCTTTAGTACGTAGCGGATGCCGGTTAATCGCTGAGTTGATTGCAAGTAATAAGTTTGGCCAGGCAAGGTATCTTCGGACCAAAGATGTTAAAAAGGGGGTAAAGACACTCAGTCAATGCACACCTGTTCTTCGTGACCATTACTAGGCCGGACAGGAACATGCCCGAGGCAGAAGACGGGTCTACAAGCACATATATCAGGAGCTGAGTCCTAAGCATACACGCTTTTCCACATACCAGACGCGTCCGCTATCCATGCTCTAGGGAAAGACAGTCTCCTTTCCAGCGAAGGATCCCTCGGGTCGTCGGCGGTCGACATTCTGGAGCCTGTAGATACGTTCGCTATAAGCCTTCCGACCCCCGTCACCGGCGGAACTGTGACGAACGCAAGCAATGCCGGCAAATGCCGCATTTCACTTTGAGCAGTGGTGGCTGTGCTCCAATACTGCGTGTTAATCGAGGACTACATTCCACCTGTACTGCTCTTCCATAGACTGCCAACAATCCTCGGGGGGCGACATCAAACAAATTGGTATGGTTGTTTCTCTATCTTTAAACTGTAAACACTCGCTAAATCTTTGAAAAACCACAGTGTTCGCTGATGTCGGGATGAGCGCTCATGGCATACACAAACTGGCTTTTTTTCGCGCTTCTAGTGATTCTCGGACGATGTCTTGCAGAACCCATTGCTCTTCGTGGTCAGAACATCAAAGACCGCATCACTGCTTTGGCGACTCATGAACGGAAGAATCTCATCTCCTATCAGCCTCCGCCAGAGTCCACGTCTGCATCGGAGGAGGAGCGCTTGCAAGCCCTGGACATCGTTCTGCTAGCATCTGTTGACGGGAAATTCCATGCTTTGAACAGGACGAATGGTGCAGTACTTTGGTCTATGTCTGGGAGCTCCTCCAGTTCTGCGCCTGCGGCTCTCTCCCCGCTGGTGCGCACAACGCACGCCGATCACGACCCGGACCTGACAGATGATGAGGCGTATCAAGAGCAGTACATCATCGAGCCTCAATCCGGTGACATATATGTCATGGTATCCCCAACCAGCCCCTTGCAGCGGTTGCATTTCTCTATGGCGCAATTGGTCGACATGTCTCCCTTCAGTTTCTCGACTGAGGACAGGAAAGTCTTTGTAGGAAAGAAAGAAACGTCTCTTTTGCTGATTGAATTGGAGACGGGGAAAATCAAAGCGACGCTGAACTCAGAATGTCCTTGGGATCCTTTGGACTTCACCGCTTCAGACCCAGTGGATATTGATTTAGACGAGCTGGAAGAAGAAGCGATGCATAGGGATGTTTCAGTTCCCACTGAAGTTTTCATTGGAAGAACCGGTAAGTTGAAGTAGCTCTTCATCTCTCATGCTGAATTAAGTCCGTCACTATCGCATTCCAGACTATCATCTTTCCATATACACCCGCCCTTCATCATCCTCCGGAAAGCCTGTGGTGCAGAATCTCTCATTCTCTACGTATGGGCCGAATAACCAAGATGTAGCCCTTCAAGCCCGTTACCGCCGCACGCCCGACGACTTATACATCCAGTCTCTCCCTGACGGGAAAACCATTGCCTGGAAGACTCGAGACGCGGACGAAACGGATCGAAATCGGGGACTCGAGTCACCCTGGGCGCACCGCGTAACCAGTAATCCCATGTAAGGCATTCATCATGTGCGGGGGATATAGTGAACTGACTCGGAGCCTAGCGTTGCCGTCTTTGATGTCCTAAAGAGTTCCAAACGGACGCATCCCTTCGTGTTGCTACAACCGCAGCTCAAACTGTACGAAGATGGCCAGCCCCTACCGAACCGCGACGCGGCGTACGTTGGGCTAGTCGAAGAGACGGGCTCACTCTTTGCCATGACGCCGGAGCATTACCCGCTCGTCGCCTTCAGCGACGTCAATCATATTCAGCCGCTGCTCAGCATCGACCCGCCCGCGGATCGCGATCTCCCCACGGATGTGGACGAAGTCACGCGCCGGCGCGAGCTCGCGAAGTTGCTCCGCATGTGCCGCGAGGGCAGCACGGACCGCCGGTGCTTGACGGGCGTGCGAGCCCTCGAGTCCGACCGCCGCTCGAGGTTGAGCCGGCTGCTCGACGAATCCCCGGCGGAGTTTTTGCTGCCTGGGCCGGGGTCGGGAGCCGCTCGGAATACGCAGGCGTTGCAGGAACCAGCTGTCCCCGCGAATGCGTCCGTAGCTGAAGTGCACGATCCGTGGATATGGCAGGCAGGTGGATGGACATCGATAGCAGCCCTGATTCCTCTGTTCGTATTTGCGCATAGGTACCTGAGGAGGCGGCGTCGGAGTAAGGTGAAGGGTGCTCCCACCTCTTCCCCACCCAGTGCGGCTGGAACTATCTCAGGGGCTGCGACTCAGGTTGCGGTCAAGGGCCCTCTTGCCGATCTGCCAGATAGCGCCGATGTTTCAAGCGCACCTCAGCAGCCCCCCCTTGGGAACGGTGAGAAAGCTGAAGGTTTGGATGCACTGACATCTAGTGTGAAGGATGGAGTCACGGCAGATGAAGGAGGAGACGCTGAGGAGAGTGACAAGGAGGGTGACGGTGCAATACCTGGCAAACGCAAGACTACAAGGCGGAAACGAGGCAAGAAGAAGAAGGGGAACGCCCAGAACGCTGCCCCCGATGAGGGTGATATTGAGGAACAGGATCAGCGCGATTCCAAAGCCTCTGCTCCGCCAGGGGAAGAACAGCGTCTGGATACAGCAAGGCAAAATGGTGATGTTGACGCTGGGCCCACGACGCTCATATTGCCTGCCACGCTGAAACCCGTAGGCGCAGCAACACAATCACTGGTGGTGTCGGACGAGATCCTAGGTGAGTGGACCTGGTACCTGTCATCTATCAGCTGCAGCCTCACCTATTCGGCTCAAGGCTTTGGGTCCCATGGCACGGTGGTTTTCCGAGGGTCTCTCCAAGGCCGTGCTGTAGCTGTCAAGCGATTACTCCGTGATTTTGTCACCCTGGCCTCGCGGGAAGTCAGTATCCTGCAAGAGTCTGACGATCATCCCAACGTAATCCGGTATTACTATCAAGAGGCGCACAGCAATTTCCTCTACATTGCCCTGGAACTTTGTCCCGCGTCTTTGGCGGACATTATCGAGCAGCCGGATCAGTTCCGCGATATCGCCATCTCATTCGACCCGAAACGCGCCCTGCGCGAGATAACCTCTGGGCTCAGGCATCTGCATTCCCTCAAGATAGTTCATCGCGATATCAAGCCGCAGAACATTTTGGTATCAACTGCCAAGAAGATGTCTGGGAAGGCTCCCGCACATCGGATGCTTATTTCTGACTTCGGCTTATGCAAGAAGCTCGACGTCGATCAAACAAGTTTCTTACCCACAGCGGGCGGGGCAATGGCTGTAGGAACGGTGGGCTGGCGCGCTCCCGAGATCCTCAGGGGAGAAGTAAAATTAGACGAGGCTCTGTCCGACAGCCAGTCCCAGTCAAGTCGTGGAAGTGTAGGCACCCCTAATTCTGACACGTTCACGGCGAAGCCTACCAGGTTAACGAAGGCTGTGGATATATTCGCTCTGGGATGCCTCTTCTATTACGTCTTGACGAATGGCAGTCATCCGTTCGGCGACCGCTTTGAGAGGGAGAGCAATATCTTGAGGAACGTCAAATCCCTTGACGGACTGGATAGATTTGGTGAAGAGGGAGCCGAGGCAGCGAACTTAATCGGGATGATGTTGCATCCAGAAGCGTCGGAACGGTACGTGCCTGCAAGCTGATGCGTCCGTCACGAGAAGAATTAATGCCTCTGTCGCTAGTCCGGATACTGGAACGTGCCTTCTTCATCCGTATTTCTGGGACGCAGGGCGCAGATTGACCTTCCTTCAGGATGCGTCGGACCGGTTCGAGATCATGTGCCGAGAGCCTCGGGATCCTAATCTTGTTGAGCTAGAGAAGGATGCTGTGAGCGTCGTGGGGAATGATTGGCCCTCTCGTCTGGACAAGACTTTCGTGGAGAACCTTGGAAAGTTCAGGAAGTATAACAAGGGTTCTGTTCAAGATTTATTGCGTGCCTTGCGCAATAAGGTATGTCGGTATTTCAATGTTGGCAGAACGAGACGACCTGACTGGATGCAGAAACATCATTATCAAGATCTGCCAGAGCACGTCAAGCGGACTATGGGTGGTATGCCGGAAGGCTTCTTGCACTACTTCACGCGCCGGTTCCCGCAACTATTTTTACACGTACATGGAATCGTCGCAACATCACCCCTGCGTGACGAGTCTATGTTCCGCTCATACTTTGAACTCTCAGATTAGTTGGACCATCGGCTCTGGTCTCATCTCGTTCGTCTTGTCGCATACATCGATCTCATTACCTGCATTTATTTCCTCCATCTGACTCCTGGATCTGTGTATGACTAGTGCATCTCTGATTCTTCTAACTTATTCTATCCTGTATTCGGTAGCTAGGGATAACGGTGCAATTAATGGAATCTGCTCAAGGTCTGCAAAGCAAGGCTGAGGAGAGTTTCTTGGAGTATCCAGAGTAACTGTCAGAATGTCACGCACAACTGAGCGATCGTGGCAGTGAAGCTTGACAGCCATTTGCAGATCGATGGGCCCACTTTTTGAGAATCATTTACAGTCGGACCACGTCGGACAAGCAATTTCAAGTCCCCGAGAGACAGAAATCAGACCATCTGGACTTCTCTACCTTCTTCCGACGTCCCTGGCACCCACTCCGACCCACTCCGACTATACGTGGTTTTCTGAATTGATGGTCTATCGATCTGCAAGCGGCTGGAAGGTGTAGGCCGAGTTGATGCATTAACCTTTTGTGGGCAGTTTTGATGAATCTCGGTGATTCTATTGGCTCAGAGCTGCTCGGCTAAATTCGAGCAGGAGCAAATACACTCTAATGAGTCAGCTATGTTTTGAGTAATTACGCAAAATCCGCCACTCAATTTTTGTCATCGCAACGAATATGGGCGTTCATCCTATGTACCACCCTCTCGAATCATACGGGTGACTACCGATGAGCCCCAATGTTATCGGAAATCTCTGTGCGGATGTGAGCATGGATTGTGTCCATTCCAACTTGAACTCGGGTGGTCAAGTCGGTTGCTAATGACCCTGACCTAGCCCGGAGAGCCTGTGAGCGCTCCGACACTCGTCACTGTGATCCCGATTATTAACCATGACTGGCGGTGATTTGCATCCAATGAGCGAGCGAACGGACGAGCTATGCGCTGGGCCTTTATGTGCAACACCTGTCCGTGAATTTGCGGGTACAGCGTTCAGCGTTCCCTTGTGCCATTCGTACGGGGATTGAACCATGATATTGTTGAAATTTGCTTGTGCAGGATCCTCGGAGGAAGTTCACGTCTGCTGCTGACTGCTATATCCGCGTAGCTGTTTGCTGAATATACCTTCTCTATGAGACAGCAGTCTCCTACGAGAAATTACCGAGTCGCATACCTCTTACAATATAGTGGTGAGCAAACATCTTGAGTATCTCTTATACTAATTGCGTTTCCCGCCATATATAGATAAGTCGGATGTATAAAAAGACGTTGGGCACTCGAAA